GCTTCTTAAGGAGGGGCCTCACCACCGCCTCCTTTAGGGCCGCGGGGAAGGCACCCTCCCCTAAAGAAGCGTTTACAATTCCCTGGAGCCAGGCTCGTGCACCCCCCCGAGCTGCCAGCACCAGCCAGGAGGGGCACGGATCCAGTAAACATGTGGTTGCATTCAGCCTCCCCAAGATCCTGTCCACGTCCTCGGGAGCAACAGAGTCAAACTCCTCCCATACAACAGTCTCAAGACCTGCTCCCGCATCCTCCCCTGGGGCCACCCAGTCAGAGTCCAGGCCTTCTCGGATCCGAGCGACTTTGTCATACAGATATTGCACAAAGTCCTCGGCCCTCCCCTCCAGGGGATCCCCCCCCTCCCCCAATTGAAGGAGAGAGCGGGTCACCCTGAAGAGGGAGGCCGGGCGGTTATCTGATGACGCAATGAGGGTGGAATAGTAATTAGACCTCGCCACCCTCATCGCCACAAGGTAGGATCTAATATGAACCCTTACCTGTGCTCGGTCGGATTCGGTTCGGCTATCTTATGATTTATGATCTATGACTTATCACTTTATTGTTTTTAGGCACACTGAGAGCTTATGCACTGGAAACAAATTCCTTGTGTGTCCAATCACACTTGGTCAATAAAGAATTCTATTCTATGTTTCTTGCCACCTGTGTGGAAGTCATCTTTTATGACATAACCCATCATCTGACTGGGTTTGCTCCCACTTGAGTGTTATCTACTCACTCTTTCATTAATTTAGAATCACAGAAAGAACAGCAGTCTATGACCAATTTGTCCAACCTTCTGCTTAATACATGGTCCACCAAGACATTTCTGGTGAATGACTATCAGTCCTTTATTAGAAGAATTCCACAAAGGAAAAATGCACCATTTCATGGGGCTTCCAGCTCTGGGTGTTAGACACTATCTTCAAAAAAATAAGGATAACACTCTGGAAACATTTCATTATAAATTTGAACATCCAGATGCTTAACTATTTCAGAGGAATATACCTCTCCCTTTGTTTATGATCCTGTAATCCCTTAATTTGGGGTAGAGTTGGGGCAACTGGATGGAGCTGAGACAGTTTGCAGCACACATTTTTTGTTTGTGCCTTAGGAGAGAAACATCTGCCACTACCTAGGATTGAATTCTCTGAATTCTTCTGAGTGGGAAGCTAGCATATTCACCAACAGGCCACCATGCCACTCATTTATATACAGTACCTCTGAACCATCAAAATTCTACAAAGTATGGAGATATAGCTTCTCTGGAAGAGATTACATTTCCATATAATAAAGACATCCAAGCAATGTTGAATATTGTTTTCATTAACAGATTAGGTTTATGAAGAACAGGGGTAGTAGAATGATGGAAAGGAAGGTTTCACCAAACTATGTGGAGAGCTGACCTTTATAAAGAAAGTGTTTGAGAACAGATAGAGCCTTTTATGTTGATTCTTGGGTCCAATATGTTTTAATGATGAGAAATGTTAAAACCCCAGATTTATCAT